AAGTGCGGGGAGCAGCCGTCCCCCTTGGTTCTATCGCTCCCTGCGGGATTTGGGGTGGGGTGGGTGGGGGTCTTGGGGTGTCACCCCCCCCACACCCCTTCCAACCCCAGAGTTGACCCCACGGGAGGGGGGCGGGGGGGAGGGCAGGATGGAGGGCACCCCACATTGGAAGGAGGGAGGGAAGGGGGTCCCGGTGGCGAGGGGCTGCGTGGGGAGGGATGTCCCCATCGCCCTGGGCCCCCCACCTCGGTCCCTGCGCTCCCCCCGGCCCAGGGGGGCCGCGGGCGGGAGGGGGTCAGTCCCATCATGTTACTCACTTTGCTATAACTGGGTGGGACGCCCTATACAGAGGGACTCGCTTCCGACAGACTAATAAAGGACAAGTTTTTAAAGGACTCTGGCTCCATCCCGTGTCCCTGTCCCCCTCCTCGTGGTGGCAGGGGGGGTTGGGGGGGAGGGGACAGCCTGAGGACCCAGGGGATGCCCATGGCCCACTCCACAGTGACAGCCCAGGGACCCAGGGGGACATCTGTGCCCTGTGCCATGGTGACAGCCTGGGGGATGAGGGGGGACACCCATGCTCTGTCCTGTGGTGACAGCCTAGGAACCCAGGAGGAAGTCCATGTCCTCTCCCATGCTGATGGCCTGGGGATGCAGGGTCCGTGTCCCAACCCATGGTGACAGCCTGAGGACCAAGGGGGACGCCTATGCCCTGCTCTTGGTGACAGCCTGCGGGACAAGGGATATATCCGTGCACTATCCTGTGACAAAACCCCAGGGAATAAAGGGGACATCCATGCCCTGCCCCATGGTGACAGATCAAGAGATGATGGGGATGTCTCCGTGCACCATTAACAGTGCAGAGACCCAGTGCGACATCCATGCCCTGACCAATGGTGACAGCCTGGGGGATGAGAAGGATACCTGTGTTATGCCCCACGATGGTCTGAGGTGGTTGGGGACACCCGTGCCCTGTCCATGGCAACACGTGGGGTAGTTGGGGACACCCACGCCCTGCCCATGGCGACACCTGGGGTAGATGGGGACACCCGTGCCCAACCCACGCCATGTCCCGGGGTAGTTGGGGACACCTGTGCCCTGTCCACGGTGACACATGGGGTACTTGCCCTGCCCACGGCGACATGCGGGGTATGTGGGGACACCTGCGCCCTACCCACAGCAATGACCTGGGGTATATGGGGACACCCGTGTCCTGCCCACGGTGACACCCGGGGTAGTTGGGGACGCCTGTGCCCTGCCCATGGCGACACCTGGGGTAGATGGGGACAGCCGTGCCCTGCCCACGTGATGTCCCGGGGTAGCTGGGGACACCTGTGCCCTGTCCACGGTGACACATGGGGTACTTGCCCTGCCCACGGCGACATGCGGGGTATGTGGGGACACCTGCGCCCTACCCACAGCAATGACCTGGGGTATATGGGGACACCCGTGTCCTGCCCACGGTGACACCCGGGGTAGTTGGGGACGCCTGTGCCCTGCCCATGGCGACACCTGGGGTAGATGGGGACAGCCGTGCCCAACCCACGCCATGTCCCGGGGTAGTTGGGGACACCTGTGCCCTGTCCACGGTGACACATGGGGTACTTGCCCTGCTCACGGCGACACGCGGGGTCCGTGGGGACACCCCCGCCCCTCCACGGCGACCGCCCCCAGATCGGAA